GTCACCAAGTTGCACTTCAAGATTGGTAGAGTGGGTGACCTTGAGACCTACCATACCCTGGGGTGAGGAACTGATAGAGCTCTGTTAGGTGAGCACCCTTGACTTCCTTAAACCTTCATATACAGTCCTATCTGAGGCTCTGTTAAACCTAAGTATGTCCTCATGGCTGAAACAAAATTGTATGTGTATACTACAGAATAATGTGCAAACGCATTTTGATTTTGTACAAATCTTTCCACTTCAGGTATTCATAGGACATGTGTAAACATGCTTTAGATATTCATAAGCATCTCATACTTTTGTTTATGTAAGCAATCACCTAGTGAAGCGGAGGATGGGAAAGGTTTGTTTTTCTCCTCCCCATGGATGCCTGGCTTGTTCCTGCTGAAGTCTGGAACTTGGCTTCTTTAGGAGCAGGCCATTATCTGGAGGTGATTACCTACAGTCGATATTTCTCTTTTTAAAATGGTCAAACCATTTTTACGTACCACATCTAGTCACATTTTGTTTCCAGAGAGGGCTTGGCTTTCTGGGTTATCAAAGGAAGACATGGATGTTTGGAAATGTGACCTTTTGCGGTTGTCATCGCAGGGAAAAGCCATGCTCTCACATTCGTTGCTCCCTTGCATCAGAATAATTTGTAGTGCTCTGACTTCTGGTGGCATTTCTTATGAGATAGGCTAACAAAAATGTATTAACATTGTGCAAATGCTAGGTTCCTACCGGACATAAATGCAATTCAAAAGATAAACGCTCTGTTTATTTTAAATCCTCCTCTTTGTGATTGTCTTGGGAGACTGCTCATTTTGCTGTAGGTTCAGCAATTGCGCCGTCGTATTCGGGTGTATAGTAAATGGCAGACAGTGCAATATGAACAGTGGCAGCCAGAAGACCGTTTATGTCAGGGCAGCCAGAGACTGCTTATTTTACGTATTTCAGCAGGAAAGTTGCTGAAGGCTTTGTAATACCACATAATATTTCATTACTTCTGGTGTTAAAACTTTAGGTCCTTTCAGGTGCCACTTTTCAGCCACATTTTGTGGTTCCCCATAAACTTTGGGAAAAAATCGAAAGTCTTAAAGTGGCTTAATACAGTTCTTGCTTACTTGTTAATGCATCTAACCATCTCCTCCTCCCCTCACACTTTATTCCAGCTGGCTCCCCCAACTAACTGCTTTTTTTGTTGGGGAAAAGACATTCTCTCTGTCTAAAATGCACTTCATACTTCACACTCACCTGAGGTGGAACTTCCTCCAGAAAAGCTTTCCTAAGTCTGAAAGGCTGGGTTTGGTTACCCTTCATGCTTTGTAGTCACTCACTTCTGCAGCCCTTTGGTAAATCTTTTCAGGCACTGTGCCGTAGGCTGAGGACACAGAAGTGAACGAGGCGGGGGTGTCCTCACAGAGCTTACATTTTTGTCGGGGAAACTACCTCATGTTCACACCCTTAAGTTTTTTTTTTTAATTTGGAAATAATTACAAACTTATAGAAATATTTTACTTATTTATGTTCTTACTCTTTCTCAGTGTGCACGTAATTTTTTTCGTGGACCAGTTACATGCACTACGGCCCCTTTAGAAAGGAAAAGCCCCAGCCTGAGCGTGAAACTAAAACACACCAGGAGGCAGGGACTCAACCAAAGCGCATCAGGCAGGCAAAGTGAACAAGCGGGTGCCCTCTCGAGAGTGGGAGCAGCAGCCGGGAGTCGGGTGGGCCTTTCAAATCCAGCTAGGCTGAGAAGGAAGGGCAGGGAAGCGACGGGGTTTAAGCGGAGCTGGGATTTTTCTATAGGTGGAGAAATTGGCGCACGCGGGAAGGGGATGTGGTGAGGAGGAAGCGGGAGGGGGGATTTGTGATTCTTGGAAAACATGCTGTTCTAGGGACCTGAAACTCTCCGCAGCCATTTGGGTGTCCCTCACGTCCGCCCACCGCCGTCTTAGACATAGGCTAAAACATAATTGCCTAACACCTTTTCCTAAAATACTTCAATGTGTATTTCTTAAAAGTGGGGATATTCCTTCACATTGTAGTTATCAACTTCATAAATTTGATAAAATATTTTATTTTTTCTGGTTTATCATTCCTGTATTACTTTTTTTCCCTAATTTTTTTATTGCATTAAGATAAACATAACATAAAATTTATCATTTTACTTTTTTTTAATTGGTGTGTTTGTCTGTGTGTGCTTGTGTGGCTGGCTGGCTAGCTGCTACTGTTTTTTTGATAGTAACCATCCCAATGGGTGTCAGGTGGTATCTCATTGTACTTTTGATTGACGCTTCCCTATTGATTAGTGATGTTGAGCATCTTTTCATGTGCTTACTGGCCATTTGTATATCGTCTTTGGAGAAGTGTCTATTCAAGTCCTTTGCCTATTTTTGAATTGGGTGGTTTATTTTTTCATTTGGTGAGTTTTAGGAGTTCCCTGTGTATTCTGAATAATAATCCCTTATCAGATACATGATTTGCAAATATTTTCTCCCATTTTGTGGGTTGCCTTTTTACTCTATTGGTTTTTTTGTTTTGTTTTTTTAAAGCTGCTGGCTGGTACTGAACTCTTACTCTGTTGATATTGTCTTTTGATACACAAATTTTAAAAATTTCCATGAAATCCAATTTGTCTATTTTTTGTTGTTATTGTTACCTATGCCTTTGGTGTCATATCCAAGAAATCATTGCAAAATTCAGTGTCATAGTTTTTGCCCTGTGTTTTCTTCTAAGAGTTTTATAGTTTTATGTCTTTGATCTGAGTTAGTTTTTGTATACGGTGTTAAGTAAGGGTCCAACTTTATTTATTTGCATGTGGATGTCCAGTCTTCCCAGCACATTTGTTGAAAAGACTATCCTTTTCCCATCGATTGGTGTCAGCACCCTTGTCAAAAATTATTTGACCATATGAGGGTTTACGGGTTTATTTCTGGGCTCTCCATTCTATACCATTGGTTTGTGTATCTGTCTTTATGCCAGTACTACACTGTTTTAATTATTGTAGCTTTGTAGTAAGTTCTGAAATTAGAAAGTGTGGGTCCTCCCTCCAGCTTTGTTCTTTTTTTTCAAGATTGTTTTGACTATTTGGGGTCCCTTCAGTTTCCACAGGAATTTTAAGATTTGTGCAAAAGGCTGTCCGGTTAGCTCAGTTGGTTAGAGCATAGCCTTATAACACCAAGGTCACAGGTTCAGATCCCTATACCGTCCAGCCACCCCAAAACAAAGAATTATACAAAAAATTTTGACAGGGACTACATTGAATTTGTAGATCCATTTGGGTAATATTGACATCTTAACAGTATTAAGTCTTCCAATCCATGAACATGGAATGTGTTTTCATTTCTTTGTCTTCCACTTACATGAAATGTTCAGAACAGGCAAGTCCATACAGATAGGAAGTAGATTAGTGCTTGCCAGTGGCTGGAGGAATGGAGACTGACTGCTAATTGGTGGTTTCTTTTTGGGGTGATGAAAATGGTCAGGAATTAGATAGTGGTGGTTTTTGCAAGCTGTGAATGTACTAAATGAATGTACCAAAAAATCATTGAACTGTCTACATTTTCAGTGAGTGAATTTTATGGTATGTGAATTATATTTCAAGTTTTTTAAAAATTGGTAAGCAAAAAGAAAAAAAGAAGTAGCAGAAACCAGACCAAAGACATCTGAAATTCATTTATTTGTCTTTACTTTCTTTCAGCAGTGTTTTGTAGTTTTCTGTTTGTTTTTTGGTTTTGGCAGCTGGCCAGTTAAGTGGATCCAATCCTCCAGCTTGTTGTTATCAATACTGTGCTCTGACTAACTGACCCAGCTGGCCAGCCTGTTTTGTAGTTTTCAACGTACAAGTCTTTCACTTCCTTGGTTAAGTTAATTCCTAAGTACTTTATTCTTTTCAATGCTACTGTAAATGGACTTGTCTTTATAATTTCCTTTTCATATTGTTCATTGTTAGTATATAGAAATGCGACTGATTTCTGTGTATTGACTGTGATAAAATGCTTCTAACTAGTATTCCATTCATAGTCCGAGGTTGCTAATTGATCTAATAATGTCCTATATTGCCTTTTTTGCACCTCTGGTACAAGATTCATTCTAGGGTCAGATCATTGTATGGTAGATATCTCTTTATCTTCCCTTAATCTGGAACATTTATGTAGCTATTCTTTTCTATTATGTCATTGACATTTTTTGAAAAATACAGAACTCTCCCTCCTACTTTTTTTTTTTTTTAATAGAATGTTTCTCATTTTTGTTTGATGTTTCCTCATGATTAGGTTCAGGTTATGCCTTCTAAGCCATAATACTGCACAGTGGTAATAGTGCATCTGAAGGCCCTCATTGGTGATGTTAATTTTGATTACCTAGTCAAAGTGTTGCCCAATTTCTCCACTGCGTAATTACCATTGGAGTTTTTGTGTGTGTGTTTTTCCCCCCCTCTCCCTTAAGTAATCAGGAGACACCAGAATTCTGTGCAGATATCTTACTCCTCATCAAAATTTCCCTCCTATATTTAGTATCAAGTCATGATTTTTGTCCGATCCAGTTGTATGGACTCAATTTCTACTTTTTGCAGTAGGTTATATAATTCATTGATTATTTTGGTGCTTAAATTGTCCCAGACTTGGCCAGTGGGAGCCCCTTCAAAATGGCTCCTGTGTCATTATGAGATGCCCCATCATTTTTTTCTTGCACAAAATAGTCCTGGCTCATCTTGTACCTACCCTGCTTGAGCCCTGCAATCAGTCATTTTTCCAAGGAGCCCTCAAACTCTTGTTTTAGCACTTAGCACATTGCTTTCTTATATCTTCCTCTATTAGACTAGATTGAACCTCTCTGAGGGTACTAGATGTCAGTCTTACTTGCTCTTATATCGTCACCCAGCATAAGGCATGGCACATTAGATGTTTGCTAAATATTTGTTGAATAAAAAAATTGATTTTTGTTACAGTTCAGTGATTAAAAGTGGGTTACAAAATTATGATGCTAATGGGTTTTCTTTTTCCTCCCCCGTTTAGGAAGAAATGTTGTCTATTTGGTGATGAGACGTGGTGAAAACTGACCTTATACTGGTATACAGCACTATGGGACCTGACATTTTCACTTCCTGGGCAGCCAGCCTCCACTGATAATGTTGGGAAGCCATCTGGTCTACTGCAAAACACTAATCTGATCTCGGAAGTGGCTGATTGTGGCAGGATGTGTCGACAATGATGATGGCAAGAAAGCAGGATGTCCGCATTCCCACCTACAACATCAGTGTGGTGGGATTGTCTGGGACAGAGAAGGAGAAGGGCCAGTGTGGCATTGGGAAGTCTTGTTTGTGCAACCGCTTTGTGCGCCCGAGTGCTGATGAGTTTCATTTGGACCATACCTCTGTCCTCAGCACCAGTGACTTTGGTGGGCGAGTGGTCAATAATGACCACTTTCTTTACTGGGGAGAAGTTAGCCGCTCCCTGGAGGACTGTGTGGAATGTAAGATGCACATTGTGGAGCAGACTGAATTTATCGATGATCAGACTTTTCAGCCTCATCGAAGCACGGCCCTACAGCCCTATATTAAGAGAGCTGCTGCAACCAAGCTGGCATCAGCTGAAAAACTCATGTACTTTTGCACTGACCAGCTGGGGCTGGAGCAGGACTTTGAGCAAAAACAAATGCCAGACGGAAAGCTGCTGATTGATGGTTTTCTTCTTGGTATTGATGTTAGCAGGGGCATGAATAGGAATTTTGATGACCAGCTCAAGTTTGTCTCCAATCTCTACAATCAGCTTGCAAAAACAAAAAAGCCCATAGTGGTGGTCCTGACCAAGTGTGACGAAGGTGTTGAGCGGTACATTAGAGATGCACATACTTTTGCCTTAAGCAAAAAGAACCTCCAGGTTGTGGAGACCTCAGCAAGATCCAATGTAAATGTGGACTTAGCTTTTAGCACCTTAGTGCAACTCATTGATAAAAGTCGGGGAAAGACAAAAATCATTCCTTATTTTGAGGCTCTAAAGCAGCAGAGTCAGCAGATAGCTACAGCAAAGGACAAATATGAGTGGCTGGTGAGTCGCATTGTGAAAAACCACAATGAGAATTGGCAGAGTGTCAGCCGAAAGATGCAGGCCTCTCCAGAGTACCAGGACTATATCTACTTGGAAGGGACTCAGAAAGCCAAGAAGCTATTTCTACAGCACATCCACCGCCTCAAGCACGAGCATATTGAGCGCAGGAGAAAGCTGTATCTGGCAGCCCTGCCATTAGCTTTCGAAGCTCTCATATCTAATCTAGATGAAATTGACCACCTAAGCTGCATAAAAGCCAAAAAGCTCTTAGAAACCAAGCCAGAATTCTTGAAGTGGTTTGTTGTGCTTGAAGAGACACCATGGGATGCCACCAGCCACATTGACAACATGGAAAACGAACGGATTCCCTTTGACTTAATGGACACCGTCCCTGCAGAGCAGCTGTACGAGGCCCACTTAGAGAAGCTGAGGAACGAGAGGAAAAGAGCTGAGATGAGAAGGGCATTTAAAGAAAACCTGGAGACCTCTCCTTTCATAACTCCTGGAAAGCCTTGGGAAGAAGCCCGTAGTTTTATTATGAATGAAGAATTCTACCAGTGGCTGGAAGAATCTGTATACATGGATATTTATGGCAAACACCAAAAGCAAATTATAGACAAAGCAAAAGAAGAGTTTCAGGAGTTGCTTTTGGAATATTCAGAATTGTTTTATGAGCTGGAACTGGATGCTAAGCCCAGCAAGGAGAAGATGGGTGTCATTCAGGATGTTCTGGGGGAGGAACAGCGATTTAAAGCATTACAAAAGCTCCAAGCAGAGCGTGATGCCCTTATTCTGAAGCACATTCATTTTGTGTACCACCCAACAAAGGAGACATGCCCCAGCTGCCCAGCTTGTGTGGATGCTAAGATTGAGCACTTGGTTAGTTCTCGGTTTATCCGACCGTCTGACCGGAATCAGAAAAATTCACTCTCTGACCCCAACATTGATAGAATCAACTTGGTTATCTTGGGCAAAGATGGCCTTGCCCGAGAGTTGGCCAATGAGATTCGAGCTCTTTGTACAAATGATGACAAGTATGTGATAGATGGTAAAATGTATGAGCTTTCCCTGAGGCCAATAGAAGGGAATGTCAGGCTTCCTGTGAACTCTTTCCAGACGCCAACATTTCAGCCCCATGGCTGTCTCTGCCTTTACAATTCAAAGGAATCGTTATCCTATGTAGTGGAGAGTATAGAGAAAAGTAGAGAGTCCACACTTGGCAGGCGAGAAAATCATTTAGTCCATCTCCCCCTGACATTAATTTTGGTTAACAAGAGAGGAGACACCAGTGGAGAGACCCTGCACAGCTTAATACAGCAAGGTCAGCAAATTGCCAGCAAGCTTCAGTGTGTCTTTCTTGACCCTGCTTCTGCTGGCATTGGTTATGGACGCAACATTAATGAAAAGCAAATTAGTCAAGTTTTGAAGGGACTCCTGGACTCTAAGCGTAACTTAAACCTGGTCAGTTCTACTGCTAGCATTAAAGATTTGGCTGATGTTGATCTGCGAATTGTTATGTGTCTTATGTGTGGAGATCCTTTTAGTGCAGATGACATACTCTTTCCTGTCCTTCAGTCCCAAACCTGTAAGTCTTCTCATTGTGGAAGCAACAACTCTGTTTTACTTGAACTACCAATCGGACTACACAAGAAGCGCATTGAACTGTCTATTCTTTCATACCATTCCTCGTTTAGCATCAGAAAGAGCCGGTTGGTTCATGGGTACATTGTTTTTTATTCAGCAAAACGTAAGGCCTCCTTGGCTATGTTACGTGCCTTTCTTAGTGAAGTGCAGGATATTATCCCCGTTCAACTTGTAGCACTCACTGATGGCGCTATAGACGTCCTCGACAATGACTTAAGTCGGGAACAGCTAACTGAGGGGGAGGAGATTGCTCAAGATATTGATGGAAGGTTCACAAGCATCCCCTGTAGCCAACCCCAGCATAAACTTGAGATCTTTCACCCATTTTTTAAAGATGTGGTGGAGAAAAAGAACATAATCGAGGCTACTCATATGTACGATAATGCTGCCGAGGCGTGTAGTACGACAGAAGAGGTGTTTAACTCCCCCCGGGCAGGATCTCCACTCTGCAACTCAAACCTGCAGGATTCGGAAGAGGATGTTGAGCCCCCATCTTACAGCCTGTTCCGAGAAGACACATCACTGCCCTCTCTGTCCAAAGACCATTCTAAGCTCTCTATGGAACTGGAGGGAAATGATGGGTTGTCTTTCATCATGAGCAATTTTGAGAGTAAACTGAACAACAAAGTACCTCCACCAGTCAAACCAAAGCCTCCTGTCCATTTTGAAATTACAAAGGGGGATCTATCTTATTTAGATCAAGGCCATAGGGATGGGCAGAGAAAGTCTGTGTCTTCTAGTCCCTGGCTGCCTCAGGATGGGTTTGATCCTTCTGACTATGCTGAACCCATGGATGCTGTGGTCAAGCCAAGGAATGAAGAAGAAAACATATACTCTGTGCCCCATGATAGCACCCAAGGCAAAATCATTACCATTCGGAATATCAACAAAGCCCAGTCCAATGGCAGTGGGAATGGATCTGACAGTGAAATGGATACCAGCTCTTTAGAGCGAGGCCGCAAAGTGTCCATTGTGAGCAAGCCAGTGCTGTACAGGACGAGATGCACCCGGCTGGGGAGATTTGCTAGTTACCGAACCAGCTTCAGCGTGGGGAGCGATGATGAGCTGGGGCCCATCAGGAAGAAAGAGGAGGATCAGGCATCCCAGGGTTATAAAGGGGACAATGCTGTCATTCCATATGAAACAGACGAAGACCCAAGGAGGAGGAATATTCTTCGCAGTCTGAGGAGGAACACTAAGGTAAGACACCAATTTGGGATAAGTCATAGGAGTGTCTTGCACAGTGTTTCAGTGAGAATTAATTCATGATGATTTTTCAAGGACAACTTATTCTGGTTAAAAAGAAAAAAAAATCCTGCTGTGTGTGTGTGTGTCGTTGGGGGTGGGGGGTGTTACTCTTTGACTTAGAATTAAAAAGTTAGTGTCTCAGGTAGCTACTTCTAGTAGCTCTCAAGTAGTTAGGATCTTGGATAGATACCTTGAGTTGTCTTTGTCTAAAACAATAGTGAATTAATTACCAAAATGAGCAGATAGCGCAGACCGTAATGTCCAGACAAGTTGCGCAGCCAGTGACAGTACGCTTGCTCTTCCTTCACTTAAACACCAGAATCCAAAATTGCATACTTCAGTCCTTTACTGCTAAACATACGTTTCATCCATACATCTCTTAAGTGCTCTTTTTTCCCCTTGCTGATGTGTAAAGGTTGCTGCATTTTAGATAAGTGAAAAATTGGGTGATTATTTGCACACACAAATCAGTGAAGGGTCTTCAAGTACATAAATGAAAAATAAGAAACTTGCCACTGAGAGTTATAAACATGTTCCATATTTATAAAATTGTAGTGCCATGCAACTTCATTTTATTGTTAAGTGAGTCAGTGCTGCCATAAGTTAGAGCCTCAGATTTTGTTTAGGGACCATAAGTTGGGTAGGGAGGGAAAAGGGAAAGAAGTTAAACTGTATGCATTATAATAGGCTTGCTCAGATATAGAGCCGGTAGTCCCAAATGCAGCAGCAGATGAAGCCTCTTTTCTCTTGCATAGAATTGTAGTTTGCAGGGCAGAGATTGTAAGCAGTACCCTGACTTCTTGTGCTTATGCTTTGAAATTTTTTAAAAAAAAAAATCCCAGTTTGTTCTTTTTCTGTTTTCCTCCCATTAAGAGTAGGGGGAACTACTCTGTTTTTTTGTGGGTTTTTTGTTTGCTGTCAGAGAAAGACATCTTGGTGAGACACAACAGAACAGTTATATAATAACCCTCAACCAGCATTATGATATACTGTGTAGAATGATTTCTCTACATTGAAAGTTTTTGCTCCTTTCCCTTCCATGAAACAGAGAGAACAAAGTCACTTGTGTGAAAGTATTGCAGGGACCTTTGGAAAGAAAGTTTGCCAAAAAAACTTATGTTATTACATGACATACCAAATCAGAAGGATCTAGAGTTCAGGATGTCTTGAGAGCTGGCAATTCTGTTTCAAAATGTTACATAGAGGCCAGTTTGGCAGCCCTTAGTGCTCTGGGAGATGGAGGAACATGGTGCCATTGTCCTCCCAAGGAAATTGCATCCAGTTTGTGTTTACTCATAGCATATAGAGTGCTTCTCAATCACCATGGGCCAGGAGCTTCCAGAGTTTTATCTATGCAGTGTGAGAAAGAGTAGGGCAGTATTGTTGTATATTCTGTTCCCCTCTTTCTCCCACCTGTGCTGACTATTAATAAATATCATAGGCATTCTTCTGTTTGGTTTTTCCCTCGGCTTTGTTTCCACTTGGAGTCCTTCATCTGCCTCCAGTATTTTGTTCTCCAAAGGTTTGTAGTGGAGCAGACCCATCAAAAGCAGTCCTTATTTAGGAAGCCAAAAACAGTCTGACCTGCCTCCTAGTATTTCCCCAAAGCTCTCCTGTTTAATGATACTGGAATCCAAACATTTTGAATTTCTTCTCTTCCTCCTCCACTCCCAATGAAGAATATTTCCAGAAGAGCTTATCTAAATGCTGACAGTCTTCTAATTTGTGGGGATGTTTGCACACCTGGAAATTAGGAAGGTGGCATAATAGCAAACTGAATTATAACTGTTTTTCTGACTTAAACTGCATTTTCTTTTTCTTTTCTTTCTTCTTCTTTTTTTTTTTTTTTAAAGATGACCAGTAAGGAAATCTTAACCCTTGACTTGGTGTTGTCAGCACCACACTCTCCCAAGTGAGCTAACCATCATCCCTATATAGGGATCCAAACCCGTGGCCTTGGTGTTATCAGCACCACATTCTTCCAAGTGAGCCACGGGCTGGCCCTGCATTTTCGATACTTATTAAAAACAATTCTTTTAAAACACATTCCCTTCGATCCCTGTATCAGCCAGCAAAAAAAAACCCAACCAACCAAACAAAAAAAAAAACCCCACATTCCCAAACAGGCCATGAATGCATACACTATAGTGGAGTTTCAGCAGAAAACACCTGGTTATAGTGAGCCTCTGAGATAGCTGTGTTCATACTGGTAATGAGCACTTCCTAACATAGGACTTCCTTACCCTGGGTTGCTGGGTCAGTATGCAAGAAAAGCGGTTGACTTCTGGCCTGTCTTTAGTTATGTGGGCCACACCTCTTCAAGTCAAATAAAAATGATACCTCTGGCTCAAGAGCAATAGTGTGCCAGAAGTCAGTTTAAAAGTATCCTTTGGAAAGAGTGAGTAGAAGGTAAAATTGTATTTTCCTGTCTTGGAAAATGGTGGTTAAATGAGTGTGGCTGTTTTGTCATCCTAATGCAGAGAAGAGCAAAAGCTTTTGCTGCTGGAGCAAACCTCCTATTAAAATTGCTGCTGTTAAGAATACAGACTGACACTTATTTTACTGGAAAAGCAAGATACCATCAGGGCAGAGAATGCCAACCCAGCCCCTGTGTGGGGGATTTGGCCTTTGATTTTTATTGGCATGACAAAGCAATACAATATATATTTGAAGTGAGGGGGGAGCCAGGCACTCCAATTTCAGTTGGTAATGGAAAACACACTTAGTACCTCCTGCCTGCCAGACACCGTTAGGGAAATGGCACAGACCATTCTTTCCCAGACCTTAGCACTCAGTTGAGGCAGCAAGACCTACACAGCTACTGAAAGTAGGTCGTCTGCCCAGGGAAAGCTATGTATGAGCAGACCAGAGATCTCATGTTGGGGGTGGTTAAAGTGGTGTAGGATGTAGTGATTTAGGAGCTCCAGCTTTGGGAATGAGGAAGCGTACAGTCACTTGGAGTTTGGGCACATGATTCACCTCTCTACATCCGTTCTGCAAAAGAGGGAGCACCTTCCTCACAGGGTTGTGAGTAATGAGCACTTAGTATAGTGCATGTCAGATAAGTGTTAGCTATTATTATCATTTAACTAGGTCTTGAAGAATGAGGAGAATTGAAGCGTCATGAGGTATGGAAAGACTTGAAAGTGAAAATATGCATGTTGTATTCAGAGAAAGGAGAAAACTGGTCTGGTCTAGCTGAGGGCTTGAGGGACCAACAATGTGTAAGTTTTAACCTTATATGTTACTTAGATGCTTTCTCAGTACTTACCCTAGCAACTGCCCTAACAAAAGAAAGCTATGTTCTGGGTACCAGTGTGATGTGGAAAAAGAAGAATTGCTCGGCACCCTTGGCTAATTTGCTAGATTAGCTCTTTACTATAAAATTGGAGTCAGAGTGAGGGAATCGCTTTCATTTCTGCTAATGAAAGTGCAGACTGTAAAGCTGACTCTCATTCTGGGTCCTTTTCCCAGCTGAACCGTTTGCAACCCACCCTCATAGTGGGAGCCTTTCTGCACTCAGCTGAATGAAATTGAAAATCTACGATTGCACTTCAGTGGGGTCTGTGAATAGAAGCTTTGTCTGTAAAGAGTGGTTGTTGCACATAGTCTCTGTCTCCCAGTGCTATGCGTTTGCAAAGATGAGATCAGGATCGGTAGGGTCTTATTTTAAAGCCAAAAAACAATCTCACAGACTGGGGAGCCTTGCCGCATAAAGTGTGCCTTTTGGGCATGCTCAAGTTGCTGAATTTGGTGTGTTTGACCACACATTTAAAGAAAAGACATTTTTGGCTGTTACTGTTCTATCTGATGTGCTCTTATTTTTGTGTAATTTTAAAAAAAAAGACAAAACAGAATGATAAAGAAAATCTTTCACTCACTATAGCTACCACATGACAAGACAACCTATTGAAAATCTAACCAATTCAATCACGCATTGTTTGGTCTATAAGGCACCAAGTACCCAGTTTGACAGTTTGTATCCCCCCCGAGTGAATTGGCTTATTTCATTGGATTCAGTGAATTAGCTGGTTGTTGTGGCTTTGTGTGGACACAGTTCTCATTTTGTGAGGCCTAAAATGGAGTTAAAGTTTCTAGTGTGAATTAAAAACAGCTGGGGAATTGGACTGTCTGCTCCCCTAGGAGGGCTGTTGCATTTTGACACACAAGCTAAATGCTGTTGAAATATGAGCTCTGTACCTGTTCAGGAAAGATTCTCAGTGTGTGCTTCAGAAAAGGCCGGGCCTACTCAATGAGCTTTAAGACCAACTAAATACCTTGGTCTTAAAAATGGGTCAGTTGCACTGACTTGACTGGGTTTTCTGATTCCTCAAAATTATTTTTTAAATGAATCACTTTGGCTGCAGAGCACAAGCTCATTCATTCTTTTAGGAAGGAAACATTCAATTTAATGCATGGCTGTTTTGTGTGCACTTGTTTTATGTGTGACATTGTACTCGTTGCCATAGATGTGGTAGTTACATACATCTAGTTTACAGTCTCTGGGATGTTAGGCTTTTTTTTTTTTTTTTTTTTTTTTAAAATATGACCGATAAGGGGATCTTAACCATTGACTTGGTGTTGTCAGCACCACGCTCTCCCAAGTGATCTAACCGGCCATCCCTATATAGGGATCCGAACCCATGGCCTTGGTGTTATCAGCACCACACTCTCCCAAGTGAGCCACGGACCGGCCCTGGATGATAGGCTTTAAACATGGACTTGAATGCATTTTGAATATTACCAGACGGAAGGTACAGGGTACTAAAAAACAGTGCATCAAGGAGGTTTAATCTAAACAGAACATCCAGGAAAGCGCTCCAAGGAAATGATATATAAGCCTGAGATTTTTGAAGGGTAAGGCAGGCAAAGTCAGTGAAGATGGACACTTCGTAAGGAGAACTTTTCAGGAAACGGTATGGACCTTGGAGCTGAAAAAAAATATGGTATGT